ACGTGACTTCGATGTCGTAACAGTATGAAGGAAAAAGGCAACACACCATCATCCCTGAGGTTTGGGAAAGATCTTAAATGCCGTGGAACCTTAAGTCATTCAGCAGTTTTACACATAATATGCAGAGACCAAGTAATACATGACTACCCGGGAAAGACTTAAATCAACTAATGAAAAAATTAAAAGTTACTATGATGTTAATGCTTATAAGACTGGATTACATCAAGGTGAGAAGGTACGACTGTACAATCCCCACTGCAAGAAAGGATGAACTCCATAATAAGGCAGGTGTTGGGAAGGGCCATATGCTGAACTGAGAAAAATTTATGACATGAGTTACAGAATCCAGGAGTGCATCCCCCGTGATGAAACGTATGCGAGAGAAGAATGAGCTCTGTACCTTCAGAGCAGAATTTACTAGTGGCAAGTCAACCTGCTGAAGAGCCAACTTAGAGAGGATTACCAATGGATTTATTCAACTACCTGTCTAGGGAGCCCAGTGACAGGACAGAACATGTTGATAAGGGACAACTCATCCTATCTCCTTGCATATACTCCTTGGAGAAGGAAACCACCAAAATGTCTTAGTGAATGGACAGTTTAGTGTACTGTTTTATGTATTAGCATTGTTCAAAGGGACTCATAATCCAGGTAGGGGACAGCATTGTGAACTATATTGAACAGCGGTGTTCTTCAAATACAAAAACAGGTTAAATTTAATAACGTTCCTTTCTTGTTACAAGGAGTAAGATATAAATACAAGTAGAGCTAAATAAGTTAATGACTGAGTTAGTTCAGTGTCAGTTAAATAGTGAGTTATTGTGCCTGTAATTCTTCAAGAAAGTTTTGTATTTGTGAGTTATGTGTATGTTATGTTTCAGAAGTTCTTTTACTCATTATTTTAACCATTGTATTTGAAGTTATTCCTACAAGTAAACAGTTTGTTATATGGACTGAACTTGGCTTTATTTTTACCAAATAATTCAAAAGGAACCAGCAAACGATAGAGCAGATTACAACAATTGCATATATACTCAAAGATAGATATATAAACATTTAAAAATAAAAAGTAACTTTCTGAACAATGTTTTTTCTTCTCATCAACTAATTGTTTCATCTTACAAGTTGTTCATAACAGAATTATGATACCTTATTTACTTGAACTTCATGTAGCTATTCAGATTAATGTAGAGCCAGAATAGCTGAATGTTCTACTGATATTCAATATCAGACCTCTTAAGCAATGACTTGACACACAGGTAACCTGAAATGTCCTTTTACTAAGAAGTGAAAAAACACTGTAAGTTAAGTGGGTTTTGTTGTTTGAAACGTAAAAAAAGGACAGATACTAAATCTAACAATTTTAACTGTGTGTCCTCCACGTGCATGAAAGTAACCAAGGTTTGATTGTTGATGGTGTTGTTGAAATACAAAAAAAGGTTAAATTTAATAATGTTCCTATCTAATTACTATTTACAGGTCAAAGCCTATTAACTTCCAACTAGTGGAGTCTTATAAAAACAGGAGTTATGCTAGTGAACCAATTTTAGTGAACACCACATTATATTTTTTTCAATACTTTGTAATAGAAAACTTATGAACATTTGTCTACAAATAACCCCTGCATATGGCTTAAATTTCAGTTAACACATAAAAGCAACAAACAGTTTTCCTGAAGACTTAAAGTGTGTGTGCATGCAATGAATTTCCAAAAGAAAAAATGTCAGTACTGAGAAAAATTTATTTACAATTTACTCAAGGCCAGAAGATTCTGTTTATCTGACTTCAAATCATATGAAACATTTCAACCAGTCCGTAACTCAGAAGTATTGAATATAATATCTAGTTTTTTAATTACACAAAGCAGGGGTTTTTCTTCTGTGAGGCATGGGGGATCCAACAAGATCATGTTTATAGACATACTGTACCTTCAGCACTTGAATGCCATGTACCCACAATTCACCAAATAAAATCTGAAAGAAAACGCTTGCACAGTAAGCAGTATACTCGTCTCTCATTAATATTCAAAAACAAATTGAGAAGTTAACCTACTTAAGTTTGGCAAGTATTTTTCAATGTTCTTATGTTAAATGGCAGTCAGATTTTGTCAACTACACATAATAAATATTAAAACAAGAGATTCAAGTACTAAAATATCTTTTATTGAGATATGTCTTCTAATCTAAAGAAAAAAATGTACAATAAATACAACATTTATTAATTACAAAACTAATTATTGTACTTGAAATTTTGTTCAAGTAGCTATACAACTTAAGGAAATAATTTATGCTATTATAAAAAAAGAGGATAAAATCTCATTTCACAAATTAAAAGTGACAATTTGTCAGCAATATTCAAATAAACATTAACTGATAATATCATCAAACTAACAAAAACTTTACTCCCAAGTTACAGCTGGCTCATAAGTCCAAAGAAAAAATGCTGATGTCAAATTTTTAGTAAGAATTCTTAAAAATCCAAAGTTCACTTCCTATTGTTTTTCAGATGAAACTAAGAAATACATGTATATATCAAGGTGAATAGCGAATGTAATAGGATTGAAAAGTGAAACAACAGATTAACAGAGTCCAAAAGTTTGTTGTGAACATTATAGAAGACAGTTTTAATTAACTGTGAGATTAATGGATGCTAATAGGTTATGAATAATGGACCATATTAGATGCATTACTCTTCTTTAATCGGTAGATACTTCCAGTCTATTGGTTTCTTCCCTTTCTCTACCAGGTACTGATTTGCTTTAGAAAAGTGATGACAACCAAAAAATCCACGGCTCGCAGAGAGAGGTGATGGATGTGCGCAGTTTAATACAAAATGTTTTTTCTAAAAACATAACAAAAAATATACTAAATTAGGTAGCACTCACTAACATTATAAAGCTAACTAGGTAATGTCAAACATAAGAGTTCAAACACACAACTGCATAACAAAATATACATAATCATACATGAAATTAAGTAATCAATTAACTGCAGAATAATTCTTTTTTTTTTGCTTATCATAATATTTTTTGTATCCCAAAGAATATAAACTTAGATGTAACAAAATTAACCAAATATCTTTCCATCTTGCTGAAACAAGGTGCAGATGAACATTGAGGCATATTCATAAAGCAAAGTTACTATTTTCTTTTAACTAAAATAACAAAAATGTTTGTTTCAATCGTTAAAAACAAAAATGCATAAGAAAGTTGCAGTAAAACCTTGTCAATTACAGCTCCTTTCTTTTGTGCATAGGATCCCCATAGAAAAAACACAATGTCTGAAAGGTTGCAGCTAAGCCACTTGATGACAGCATCTGTCAGATTTTCCCAGCCCTGGTCCTTGTGGGAGTTAGGTTGCTGAGCACGTACAGTGAGACAGGCATTCAGCAGTAAAACACCTTATAAACACCAAATAGAAAAAGGCATATATAAAATTATATGCAATTTTTGTAAGAAATGTGGTTATCTACATGTAATTCAATTATTCATAATTTCAGAAAATAAAAAAACAGCAAATTTTAACTAATGTTTTGCATTCTAATAAAAATTATGAATCAATTAAGAGCAATAAATATGTTAGACTTCCAAATCCACACAAAAACAAAAACTACTTGGTGGACAACATCTAAACACACAACAATGAGGGAAAGCAGTATACATACATATTAAATGTTGTCCCAGGTTCTATGATTTCAGTTAAATGACTAAAAATGTAATAATAGTTCCTTACTATTCCACTTCTGAAAACACTAGATGTACTTGTGGAAAAATCAAACTAGCCTCTACAAAAAGAAAGTTTTATAGAGAAGTCTTTTTTTAAAATTACACATTTTGATAGTTTTACATCCATTTAGTTTAAGATTCTGCTCTTGGGGTTGCACTGACTCCTCATGTGGAGACTAATTGCTTCACAGGAAGTAGAAGATAGTTCCTTTACTGATCATGCTACCAGTGACCTGGTTGTATAATGTCCTAGTGATTCCCCATCATTTGCTTTTCTAGTTACACTCTACAGTTCTTTGTCTTTCAGCAGTCTCATTTCCTCTGAAGTTAGATAAAAATCTCCAATGGTTTCTGCTTTCACCTTACTAGTGCAGAGGAAGTCAATATCCTGCCAGTAGGGTTATATTGGATTTGATAAAAGTGCTTCTCCTGTGAATTTACCAACTTCCTTGTTTAGCTTTACTCCTGCATGGCCTGTCACATAACTTGCTTTGCTTTCTGCCATCCATCTTCCAGTTTGGGTATATATATTTTGTTGGCAAACCTAAACAATGTTATTTATGGACTATGAACTCTTCTTACTCTTTATGTACTCTTATGCGAGTTGAATTAACATATTAAGAAAAAAGTCACATCTACCTTGTTTAGCCCATCCTGTCAAATTCCCATGTAAAGGTGGTGTAAAACCAGGTATATCACTTTTTAATTCTTTGTAGATGTTGATCAGACTAACAAGAGAGAATATTTTTTATGTAATAGACTTTCTTAATTTTTCTTCATTATGCTAAAAATTACCTATAACAAATATGTAATTTCAAATGAATATAAGAACATATAGGTTACAGTCAAAGTGTAAACTATTACATGCTAAAACTATTACATTCATAACACACTTTTTATACTGTTTTGGCTGTTTGTATCTTTTAATCATATGGAAACTCTCCATGTAATCCAAACATTTCACCACCGTTCTATATATCTGAGATTATATATATATGTATTTTTAACAAAACAGATGAAATGAAAGACAACTATGATGTTAAAGTACAACATGATACAATATATTACATATTTTCAGGACATTAGCAACACACAGTGTTACTTTTATTAAACAACAACTTTCCAGTTATTTCTAAAGACAGACTTTATGTAGTGATTTTATCTCAATGGAATTATTCTAATATTGCCAACTAACAACATTCCATTGCCACTGAAGAATAAATGATACAAACAGTCTACCAACAGAAGACCCAGACATATGAAGTTGAAAGCTTGTAAGTTAATGAAAATAAAACTTATAAAGATTTTTATAATCTAATGGTTTCATCCCACAACATGAGTTTTAGCAGAACACAAAACAATGAAAGTTGCCTCTTGTTTCTTACACAATAATTAGATTGTTTGTTTCCATAGGATACAAATAATACTGAAGAAACATGTGAAGCTATCAGATAACTTTTTATTTTTCAATATCGTCATAATTAAAGGTTATTCCCAATTACCAACTATTAACTACTGCCTTCTAGGTGAAAAAGTTATTTAGTTTAAAATACAACTGTTTTTGTGATAGAGAATGATGAATAAATTAGTTTAAAAATATGTAAAACTCCTAAGGCACTTTCATATAACAATGTATTTCATTTAAACTGTAATCATTAATTTCCAGAAACACACTTTTATATTTATGTAAGGGTGGTCTATATTTTTAAGTTTTGATTTACAACACACCCCTGTCATTTTGTTCCAATATAATTCACATCAAATTTTATCCATATTCAATAACATTTGTTCAAGATAGTTGAAGTTTTACCTTGTAGCTCACATTATATCTGCATATTCTAGCACAATATTAAGGAATATTGTAGTATATTCTGGAATATTCCAGAGAATTTCTCATTATTCAAAATGTTCAAAAACATTTTACATATATATAATTCATACTGTCACTTTTACTTGTGAAATATTCTGTATGACGTGACAGTAGCTTCTAGAATTTCTGTGAGGGTATATAAAAACACTTAAACAGATTCTTCTGTATTATTTCAGATGACACTGTATAGGCATACCAGTGCAGATGGATACTACAACAAAAAGTAAGACTACCCTTTGGCTGCTTGATTCAGAAGAAACTGAAATAACAGGGAGCAAATTACTTTCAAATAGATTAGTGCTGCGTATATCTTTCTACCAACACAAAACATTAAAGAAGGCAGTTCATGAAAGCTCAAAGGTTGTGATCAAAGAAGCTGCAACTTTTTGGAACAAGACTGGAATTCCAATTCATCCAGAATGTCATACCATTAGAAGACTTTTCGATAAAACAGGCAAAGCTAAAGAAAAATTTGAAAAGGAAAACTGAAACAGAGCCACCTAATAAAGCAGAGTTTGTCAATAATTTGGATGACCTTTTTGACATTAATCATTAGGATATTTTGACCCTGATCAAGATCCCAGAAGACAAGGACTTTTTTTTTTGCTCAGAGAGAAGGAGGACATTGTAGGTGCATGGACCAGGTAGAAAGGTTCTTTCTTTAAAGAAATCAAGGGCTGAGAAAAGAAGTGAGGCAAGTATGGGTAGGAAATGGCATGTAGAGCAGAAACAGCAGACCTGAAATACTGTCACTCCCAATTTAGCAGTAGCTATGGACATAACCAAGTTCAGTGACAGAAAGACAACATTTGTCCTTAATTCCACAGCTCACAGCCCTGGTCATGATGTGCAGGAGCTAACTATCAACTGTTCCTCAACCTGAAGATCTTGACATTGCTTCCGTAAAGAATAAAATATAAAAGAACAGTTCCATCCAACAGTCTCACTTGTAGTTCAATGGGATAACAAGCTTCTTAATGATCTCACAAGTAAAGAACGAGTGGATCTTCTGTCAGTAATCTTGTCTGGAGTAGCACTCGAGAGGGTCAAGTTTCAGCTGTGGTACATTTGCTGGAAGAATGGGGAGTCATTGATTGTGTAAAGGCAGCTTGTTTCAGTACAACAGCAAGCAACACTGGTCACAGAAATGGAAAATGTATGCTGTTAGAACAAAGATTTATCTTAGAACATGTTCTGGCATGTGTTTTTAGAGACCACATGTGGCTTTCTTCTGGTCCAGATATTGCAATTTTCAATCAATTCCAGCAATCTTGGGAATTCATGGACCAGTCCTATTAGGAAAATGCAGCTGATCATAATGAAGTAGCAGAAGCCATAGAGAAAGTTAAGGACAGTGTCACTGTGTTTGCTACAAGACAGCTTCAGGTCAGCCAACCAAGAGACAATTATTGAGAGCTTCTTAAACTAGCCATATCCTTTCTTGGTGGCATCCATCCTTGTGGAGTGTGATTTATAGCACACTGAGCACTACATCATGCACAATGGACGGCCAAGGTATTATATGCCCTCAAAATCTGAATGTTTATGGGATAGTTTAAGCTCACTGGTCATGAGAAAAGATAACTCATATGATATTTGCATCTTTGTTGTTCAGGTTTATCTTAGGTTATGATTCACTCCTCCTGATGTCATTTCTGTTCCTTGCAATCATCTTAACTTTCTACAATGTTAAGTATAAGAAGGTGAATTTTGCTCATTCCAAATTTGCCTACAAAACATTTGCTGGACATCTATAATATCTTAATGAGGAACTAATTGGTATGGCATTCTTTGATTCAGCTGTATCCACAGAGATAAAATAAGCAATGGTAAAGGCACTGAATAAGAAGAAATGCATGGATGAAGCTCCAAAAGCATCCAGTTGGATATCAGGAAGTCTGAGGACATAACAATTGAAAATTTCATTACAAAAATGACAACAGCCTTGTTTAGGTGCTTTGAAATTCCATCTGCATTATGACTTTGAGTCATGAGAGTGTAGAGATGACTACAGGGAGGCACTACATATAGTTCAAAACCTGAATGTGTTAAATGACACTGCTGAAAAGGGTATGGCCCTTATTGAGGAGTATAATGACATCATAGCAAATAAAGAAGAGTATAAACAATTCATCCTTCAACCTGTGCAGGATTGTAGAAGACTTTCCTAACAACAAAAAGAAAAAAATAACAATGCAAAAGCGACTCATTACACTTAAGTCATATATTTATGTAATTATACTATTGTACATGCAAAACAATAATAATATGCTTTAAATAAAACATTTGAAATACATAACAAATGTTTTAATTTCATATAGTACATACAGTAAAGGCCACTACAATCTAGAACTTCACCTTCTGACCTCATTGAACAACCTCTAAATTCTGTCCAAAATATACAATGTTCGATCTTTAATGTTATTTTGTTTTTGTACAGTGGAAGAAAATTATTGTTGAGAGTTTCAGAATTTTTACCTGCAAATAAGGGGACCATCCTAATATACATATATTCAAAAGTTAACTAGAAATTAAATTAACATAGAAATAAAACACTGGAAGCATATAATTGAATTTTATGAATTAAAATAATAATTTCATGTATTTTAATTTTTATTATTATAGTCCCCCCAATTATTTCATCAGCAAATAGTTACGTTAAAACAACATGTAATTAGATTAATAAATTATTCACCCATTTGGTCAGCAAAATACTTGGGTTAAAGAGTTCATTTCATTGGAATTTTGATTTTATGCAATACTGTCAGTATAAGTTCTGATGCACTGTTTTACCTTGGTGGTCGTGTTACTCCTTCTTGAACACTGAAAGCAAGACCTATAAGAAGACAGGTCATGTTTATTTACAAAAATATATCCAACACTGCACTAAAAAACATGAGTAGAGATTACAACTAACTTGATAATTCTTTTTTTTTTTACTGAATGTTTCACAAACATGAGCTTAAGCAACTGTATCTACTAACTCTTTTAGATGTTATTTTCAGTGATGCATTTTTTTTATAAGAATTTCATATACACAAGCTTAAAATGCTAAATGTAATAGCATTTCAACATCCAATTCGAAATTTATTAATCAAATCTACAATATACTCTTCGTGAACTCAACTTTAAACCATGTATCTACTAGAACTTTTATAAATGTCAATTTCAAGTTCAATAACCTACTGACCATGTGCCTGATTTTGTCCATGGTATGGATCTTGACCTAAAATGACCACTTTGACCTATAAAACATACCATTGGAAATATTTTAGTAAGCTGTTACACATACCTTGTCCTATTAAATATATTAGTGGAAACACATTAGCATAATCGTTACACGTAACATTCTTACTGATCAGAACTTTAGCACATGATTCCTTCACTTAACCAAGAAACAAATGTTAGGAGTTTCAATGAATGAATAATCTATTTTTCAAGGCCCAAAACATCATTATTAAAAACTTGATATGTTTGATTTACAAGAAGCACAAATATTCACTCAGACCTACTAACTTTGCCTCATAATTGTTGAACAAAAGTATTATAATAAAATAATCTAGAGTTATTTTAAATTCCTATTAAAGACACTTAACTCATGAATGAAAAATGGCTTCTATTAAAGGGACTTTATTTTCATTCACAAATATAGCAATTACACATTTCCTATTCCTGAGGTTCAAACTCTTCTCAGTGACATTCCTAAAGAAAATCCCCAATGAAAATTGACAACCAGTTTCATAATTTTTGACAAAGTTACACAAAGAGCTATACATTCACAGCCATATCTAATTTTGAACTAATAGACTACAGTGAAAGCAGCTAGTCAAAAGCACTTACCACCAACTCTTGAGCTACTTTTTCATGACCTAAATGTAGGATTGGATGATCACTCTTATAGCAAACTTATGGACCCCAAAAGTACAAAATACATTTTTGCAGAAACAGATCATGAGCCAAGAAACCTGATTCACAGTCCAAGCACACTTAGCTCAGATTCGTGAGCTTGTGTGTGAAGATGTTTTCATTAATACTATGTAAGTTTTGTGTATAAGATAAACTACAGTTTTGAACATTATAGATATAACAGTGAAATAATTGTTGTTTAATGTGAGACAGAATTTTCAATAGTGGGCTGTAATAGAAACTTTTTACTGGGTAACAAATTTCTGGAAAAGATGTTTTGTTAAAACCATTTCAGTTTTTGAGAAATTTGACAATTTTAGAGGACTTTCTAGGACCTTTATGTATCCTGTCAGCAAATAAAAACATAGTGCACAATGTCAGCATATACAAGTATTTAGCAAGTGCATAGTTCAAAATTCCTTTCATATAATTGCTTATAAAGCTTACCAGGAAAATTATAGAAAACATATTGTGGATATGTAAAGAAGCAGTAAAAAAACTGATCCAATAACTATCTTATATACAACTTATGACAATGACTGGGAAATAATTTTGTCCTAGACAGATGACTACATCTTTACAAAACCAGTTATAACTTTAATTTTTAAGCTTAAAATATGGTTAAAAGCTAAAGTGATACTAATAATTTGAAATGCCTCATTCTTAAATGACCCAATATAGGTGTTAATACCACTGTTATTGAAACATTTCAACCTGCTGACTAGTATAATAACTACACAATCTTGAACTGAGTTACAGGAAGTCCCTTTTGAATGAGATAAACCCAACAGAAAATAACTGTGGATACTGTCTTTTAAAGAGCTCAAAGTAAAAATAATAAATATTAAACTTCAAACAGACTCTTTCAAATCACAAAATTAAAAAAAATTCAGTTATGGAATACTTTAGAAAATGCAGTTTTCTATAACTAACTTCTGTAACGTTTTATAAGTCCTTAAAGTTCAAAATATCATCCTAATTTGTGTTACATTATATAAATTAAATAAAAATTTTATATTCCCATAGTCATATCATAACAAATTACAGTTTACCCTGACATGTATGACAAAATAAAGAAATATAGGAACTTACTATTTTACATCTAGATAAATGTTCTTTTCTCCATTATAAGTACAATTTATGTATTCAGATTACAATGGAAAATAACCAATAAATGTGTTATAAAATATTCTGATTAAAAATATATATTTGTACCACAGATTCAATACTGATTTGTGTTGCATCATTAAAAATTACGACAAGCAGTGCAATAAAGACAACTCTGCATTTCAGTATTATGCAACTCTTAACCATACAGACTTCAAGACATTATACTGCAAAAAATATAAGAGCCAATTTGTACCAATTTTGTGTTATTTCAGTTACCTGAAAGTAGCACACTTACAATAAAATAGAACTTTTGTGTATATAGTCATTGTGGGCACCCCATTTGTACAACAGACTAAGAAGCCACTGACACGAATGCACGTTATATTTATGTTAAATTTCATGGCACACCACAGATTGCATTACACTTTGTCATTAAAAAAGTTTTTGTATATATTTTTTATTCAACATTTTCAGATTTTATTGTTTAACTATCCCTTTTATATTTTGCATTAATTTCCCACAGCTGGTACTGGCAATGACCACAATTTGGTGATGATGACAATAAAGAGAAAACTGAAGAAGACTGCGAACAAAAATACACCAAGAGCCAAATATGACTAGAAAAGCTCAAGATTCCCACAATAAAGACTAACTTCAACATTAAAATTGGAATGAAAATCTCAATTCCTTCTAATTCTAAACAGCAGAAGATGTTCTTGGTAAGGCCAAGAAAAAGAATCATTTATGAATGAGCAACAAAATCATGGAAATGTGTGATGCTCAATGAGTACTGAAAGCTAACTGTTTTGATTCAGAATTTGGCAGTCCCAATAATAGAGAAAGAAACAGGAATGTGAGAAATTACAAAAGTGGATGAAGACTGGATTCTAGACAGGTGTGTAGAAATTGAAAATGAATTTGTATTTAAGAGCCTGAAGAAGGTAACCAAAACACACCAAGCAGGAACTATGATGGTAGGAGACAAGAATGGAAAAATTGTTTACTGAAAACAATGCAATACGCAAGATGGGAAGAGTATGCAGAGGGACTCTACAACATCCAAGCAGGGCTCAAAGTATTTGACCAACTTGAGAAAGGAGGACTTGGAAGCCCTGAAGAAGAAAACTTAAATATCTCAACAGAAGTAAAAGCCATTAGAAACCTGAAGAATGTGAAATCACCTGGGGTGGACAACATACCTGCAGAAGTAGTTTAAAATTCCTATTTCAATATTATCTAAGCTTTAATGTTTAATTTCTAAAGGGAATATTCAAATGCAGCTCTCAGTCTTCTGGGTCATGTAGCATGCCATCACTCTGATCTCTTTCTCTTATTTAGTTTTTTACAACTTTAAAGTACAGCTTCTATTGTGCCTAACCAATTAGATACACAAACTAAACCTACTGAAAAGGAAGTAAATAAAACCTGAGATTCATAACTTTTTCAGTTGTTGAGATATCAATAAATGTGTTCAAATTTACCACAGAAGCACCTCCATTCTTCTCATGTATTTCAAGCCAAATATTCACTCGTGCCTACTTGTCTGATGGACATGTTTATAACCAATAGGAGCATATTGTAATGTATAGAAATATTACATTTATTGTTTAGTTTTTGCTTTCAGAGTCAGGAATTTGTAAGAGAAGCTTGCTGTGTGTCAAGTAAGTTTGTTTCTCTGAGTTGTAACAGAATTTTTTTAACTTTTCTATAGCTTAGTTAGAAAACTAGATAAATTTTGAGACATTCTGTTTTAGTGCTGGATATATATTTTTTGTATTATAAGGCGTATATTAGAAAGCTACATGAATTATATTTTGGAGAACTAATACAGTGGGGAAAAAAGTTGGATTACTAAAGCACTGCCTCCGAGTGCAAATAGCCTCAACACCTAAAGTGAGATCTAGATACGAGAGAGTCTATAATACAGTAATAAAATTATAAAATCAAAAGAAAGAGATATGAAAGGGTTTTAAGCTGAGACTGTTAGGTTAAATAAATGTATTTATTTGTAACAATCTAAAATCATTCTAGAAAGAAAAGTATTTTTACTTCATATTTATCATATTTTTCATTTCACTGTACATTGAAGATTTCACTGCAGTTAGTGTTAGGGTAGAGAAAATAAGAAATATGGGATAAAGTTTTATCAAAAAACTTTTGATATTCATTTAGGAGATTCTAGAGGTTGTGCAAATGAAATATGAAAAATTTAAGATGAAAATAATTATTTTTATTCTTAACATGAAAATCAACTTTCTCTCAGAATGACTCAGTAATGGCTTTGTAACTTCACAGACAAATCTTTAGTAAAAATACTTCACTGACAAATCTGATTTTTTATGTACAACAGACATGTAATGTTTAATAAAAGCCTGCCAAATTCTTTGAAGATACACTTAATACGTTAAGAGTTATAGTATAGTTTCAAAGTTACATGATGGTTACAAGGTCACTTAAATTGATTGAGTCATTATGCATATGGTTAATAAATTTAATCATGATTTTGATTACTAAGTCATATTACATGACACTAATTAACAATCATAGGTAATTGATTATATTGATTAATCAACTTAATTGCTCAGCTCAAATAATTGATTTTATGCAAGCTGAAATACCCATCAACTGATGGGGAACACTTAAACTTAATTAAAACAATGTAATAACTTGAACATAAACTTTATCTCAAAATTTAAAAATTACAACAAATCTTCTTCATAAACAACATTTGCAGTTTGCTTTCCATCTACCAACAAATAAAGATTTTGAGGTGATCCCACCCTTGAACACATTACATATCATTGACCATGAGAAAAGCATGGTTATTTGAGAAATAATACAGCAAACTTCATACTTTTACCGTGAATCCCTTTCGATTATTCAACATTTGAAAAAAACAAAAATTTCCCCAACAGTGAGCTTTGTAGATATTTCAACTTAACAATGATGTAGAGAAATCTCATGCTAGCCAAAAAAAAAAAACACATATAACATATAAGTGCCAAATCGAGAAGCGATCATTTAACAATCAGTATAGAGGAAGCCAGTTGCACTAGGAGGCAGTATCACACTCCTACTGGTAGAGAGTTGTCACATGCTCACTTCCAAGTAACAACGCAGCAGTGTCACATAAGATTAGGTGGGAGCCTCAAAGCTAGTGGCAAGCAAAAAAGTTTGTGTACAGATGGCAGCACTGAATCAGGAAAGCTAGCTAGATATGAGCTGAAGTTATGTATGGTATTGAAAGTCCTAGTTAAAGATGTGTCTCAGTTTTCCAAGAGATGCTGAAGTAATTCTTTCAGAAGATTAGAGGAACACTCAGATTACCTTATCAAATATTTTATTTATTTTTATTCCTGTAAACTGCCAGTGGAGCATAGGGTCGCAACAACCCCTCGCCAACGGAAGGTGTTGTTGCAGTTACTTGTAGCAGGTTGTTTTTTATGGGGTGGAGTTGCTAGCCCCACACCCAACCCTCCTCCTTTCTCATCCTGGATTTGGGACCAGGCAAAGGCGGAGGTTGGCATGTTTGGTGTGACGGGGATTCGAACCTGCGACCCTCAGATTACGAGTCGAGCGCCCTAACCACCTGGCCATGCCGGGCCACTCAAATATATTTAC